AAAAAGAAAGAAAAATCCTTTTATTTGGCAGCCTTGGTACAAACAACAACCAACCAAAACCAACAATACTTGGAGAAGTCCTCACCGAGGTCTACAACTTCTGGCTCATGAGAGCAAAGGGGTTTGATGCACTAAGCTCGGGAGTCCTTAAACCTCCATAGCAAATATGTCAATAACAAATTTGGACATCCCCCCCACCCCCCGTACTTTCCTATTTTTAATTTGTTTATTCTTTTGCTAATGGGGTCTGCCACCACATCAAAGAGACCCTGAAAAGGTCAGTAACATGTCAGCAATCCCAGGGGCTTGTCTAAGTCACTACATCCCACACTGGTTACCTTTTCCCACTGCTGGAGCTCAAGATTTCTGTGTGACTACATTCTGTAGTCCTTTCACTCCCTAAATCCTTTCAAAGATCAACTCATACAACAAATTTCATTTCTGTGGAAGAAAAATACAACACGCACACAAGCACATAAAGTTATGTAAGAAGAGGGCTGGAGCAGGGATGTGAAAAATCAGATCTACATGAAAAATAACTCCCAAGATAAGAGGGAATCCAGATTCCACAACTGTAAAATTGTGAGGCAAAAATTAGAGTAAAGGCCAGAAAAAGGTGCACACACGAGGTGGGAGGCTCTCCCACATTTCAGGGCAAATATCCCTAAAGAACATACTTGCAAGTGTCTAGCATGTAGCTACTGGTGCTTTCTTTCCAGAGATGAATGCCAAGAAGATTACTTTTGAAGAGTTCCTGCCCATGTTGCAAGCAGCTGCCAACAACAAGGAACAGGGCACCTTTGAAGACTTCGTTGAAGGTCTGCGTGTCTTCGACAAGGAGGGCAATGGCACAGTCATGGGGGCTGAGCTCCGTCATGTGCTGGCTACTCTGGGTAAGGGATTATCATCTCCGTGAGCTCTTCCAAAATTGCTGCTGTCTGAAGGCATATGAGAGGGAGAAAAGACAGTCCAACCGGTTTGGAGAGGTAGGAGGCCACCAAGCCAGACAAGACTCTGAGTTTCCTAACTGGTAACCCACTAAGAAAGCAAACAAAGCTTTGGGTTTTCTGCTGAAAACCAGAGGAAAGGGCTTGGTTTATGACTTCTACATTCAGGCGAGATATTAAGAGTGCCTGATATTTGATGAACAGAGAGAAGTCTGTACATCTCAGGGACCTAACACACATGGACAAAGGTAGAAGATTTGCTGCATAATTTCTTTACTCTGTGGTAATAATTGGAATCGCTGTCTATATGCACATGCAGAACTTCTAAAGAAAGTTAAAATTAATAAAGCTCATGTCATATATGTCTTGTTGTTACTAACTCAGAAAACAAGGAAAGCCTTTGGAAAAGCTGTAGGGTTCAGCATCAGTTGTGTGTGGAGGAATTAACCAAGCTCTCTCCGCTCTCAGGTGAGAAGATGACAGAAGAGGAAGTAGACGAACTCATGAAAGGTCAGGAAGACTCAAACGGCTGCATCAACTATGAGGGTAGGTACAAGAGTTCAACATCCTCCCATCTTACATCTCTCCTCTCTCTCACAGTTTCACTGCAGTTGGCTCTTAGCTTCCCAGGCAAATCAGACAAAGCTCCAGCAAAGTTGGGTCAAAAGGCTTCTGCGTGCAAATGACCGTGGCAATGCACTAACCCTGCAGTCACAGCACGCAGAAGCCTGGATTCAGCCATGGCAGGGGAGCTGTTTTGGCCGGCGCCAGGTCTCCAGGCCGACTTTCTGTAGAGCAATTGCAGTCATTGGAACCAATCCTATAGCTAATGTCTTAGCACACTTAAGCAAGAAGAGAGCTTGATTTTACAGCATTAAACACTCGGAGCCTTCTATCACACATTTGGGTCAAATCTGACCAGAAACCCCCGTTCTTAATGCCATCAGCTCATAAACAGATGTTATTTATAAAGGTATTTCCCAAGGTAACATTTGCTGCTCCTTCTAACTAACATATCTGTATTTTTCCACAGCATTTGTAAAGCACATCCTGTCTGTCTAAGTGGAATTCTCCAGATACCAAATGGTATGTTCTTCTCATCTCTACACTTGTGTGTTTGCTATGCTTCAAGGCTTCTGTATACCCATGGCCAACACAAAAGTGACGCTGTTTCCTCAATGATACGAACAGAATAAAATGAGACTGTTGTCCAAGAGCAAAGAAAACAGGAGTGCAGATTCTTGGCTCTTGTTCACAGCCCTGTAACTCATTGAAAACTGTGTTTAGTGGATTTTTCAAACATACACAAACAGTGAAAAGAAACCTCAGGCATAAATATTATCCTAGATGTCTGTTGCCATACAAAATTAGAGTGTAAACTATGCAAATTGACAGCCTGAGACATTTATCCTACAAGCACAACTGAGATTTTTAAACAAAAAAAAAAATGAAATCAAAGCAGCATCTAATAATTTGTAGATTTCTGTTAAGACGTATCTTGAATACTTGTGTGAAATACTGAGAACAGCTCTGCAAACAAAATAGTCATGTGAAAAAGGGTACTGTAACAGTCATGATCAATAGCCAAATAAGGGCTTCAAAAGTAAAAAGAAATAAAATTAAACCCCTACAACCTTTATATGCTGCTATTCTGTTCAAAATAAAATATAAAAAAAACCAGCAGCAGCTGCCTTTAAAGTACAACCAAACTATTATGGGTCTGTAGGTTTATTTGAACTGCTAGTTATTCTATCTCAGGAAATACACATTCCCAACTCCTATTTGAAACAAACACCTCCAAATAGGAATCAAGGGCTCATTTTGTCATTTTGCAAATGTTTCTTCAGCCAACATTGACTTCAGATCTAATTCTCTCATTCCTTCCCAGAACAAGTCAAATTCAGAAAGACCAGATGGCACTTAAGATTTGCCCAGAATTTTTGCTCAGTCTGTCACCATCAACATGGAAATTGCATAGAACTGGATGATGTGACTCCAACCCCACCACTTTTTACCAGTACAGCCATGGGTATCACCTCTGGGTCACTATACCTTCATCTAAGAAATCTGAGCTTTCACCAAAGCGAACTAGATGGAATAAACTGCTACCATCCAGGATCCATCCATCCCAACAAACTATTTCCATGCTATTTGCAATGAAACAATGTCATTTCTTGGGAAAATAAAGCATCAATAAATCCCTGTGGTCACTTTGTGGCTATAAAGTCTTTTCTTTTCCCTCCAAAGCTGTTCAAACCCACCCAAAGCAGCACTCAGCACTTATTTTCTCTGTGTATCTGAATTTCACAAAATAAAGTTTTATTAAAAAATAGAAATATAGACATCTCCAGGAGGTCACTCTACTGAATCTGAATGAAAAGTGTTTTCTCTGGGGACTGGGAGGAGGACGGATTAGGGAACTACTACCTACATCAGCACTTAAAACATCTTGGGGAGGAGATCTGGTAGCTGGTATCAGAACAGCTCCTAAGGTGGCTCCTGCTGGCACACCAGGCAGCATCCAAAACCAGGCAGGGTGGCCCTGCTGTAGGGGACCTTGCAGAGCCACTCTTCCCAGCAAAATCTCCTCTGGACTGCTGCAACAGCGGGTCCACAGCACTTACAGGGAAAGGATCCTACCTGCTGCCTGTGTTTATAGCTTCATGGACAACTATAAAAAGCCATCAGAGGTATCAGCCAGCCTGAAAGGCTCCATAACTGGGAACAGGGGCAGGGCTGTGATAAGAACAGGACGACTACCCCTTCTGCAGTGACACCGGGAATAGCCATAACTCAGGGAAGTATTGCTACATCCCTGCCCTTAGATGTAGCTCCTCTCTCTTCCTGAAACTGCCCTCATCCCCATTTGGGTATCAGCTTGTTCTATTAAAACCCCACTTTGCCTTATTGAGCTGCTATGCGCGAAATGACCATCATTCAAGAGCCAACAGGTGCAGCAGGGGCAGCTGGCACCAGAATAAACTGCAGCTGCTCCAACAGCAGCTGCTCTGAGGCTTCCCAAAAAAACTCCCATTTAAACCCTCACTAAGCTGGTAGACAGGGCCAAATGAACCTCTGAATTACACCCTGCACAGAGAATGCCAGCAGGTAGTTTACAAAGGGTTGTGGTTGCTACACGCACAGTGGAAAAAGCCCTGGATAGAAGGAATTAAAAAAGGAAGATGTTTAACTTCATTCTAAAAAGGCAACAAAAAAAAACAAGTGTGGGATACACAAGCAGACTTAGCCTGGAGGGCATTTCTCAAGGCACTGCTACACACCCTACTGCTCCTTAGCATACATGCTCCAGGGAGAAGCATGCTCTTTCCAAGAAACTGTGGATCTCAGTTGCTGGGAAAGCAAGCAAACAAAAACCTAAACAGCATTTCACCATATATGCTGTCAGCCTCCTTTTCACACTGCCCTATCAACACTGCACCGACGTGTGGTCACAGAACCAGCCTAGTTCAAGGTTGGACAGAGCCCTAAAGGAAAGGTTGAATTTTCCATCATATTTTCCTTTCTGAAATTGCAAGTTTCACTAGTTTCTAAAATATTTGGGACCCAAGCCTGGACAACTAAAAAAGTTGGATGACTTCTCATCACTGCAGAAACACAGATTTTCCAGCCACCCATTTTTAAAAACTCATATTCATATTTTTGTTTAAAACAAAGTGCCAGATTATGAGACATAACCAGTACTTCCCTGAATTTTAATTGCATGGAATCAAGTTAATATTGATTACATCACTTTCACTCCTCAAAGCACAAATAATTTTTAGAGACAAAACAGATGAAAACAGATAGAATACTCCTTTTCTATTACACTGTGACCAAGCCTGAAAGTATTTCACAGGGTTTCATGGGGAATGGATTTTTATGCTATCCAAAAGTTTTAGTAATTTTGAAACATTTCCACCCCAAATTGAGACCAATACCTGAGAAAATGTTCATGTGCTTATAAGACAAAAACATTTTGGGGTGATCTTATATAATTCAGTCATTTATAAAGAATTACAAACTCTTTATATAGTACTAGCCTCTTTCAGCTAGTGACTTCAACTGAAACCTCTTTATTCATTTTGAAAATGTAGAAAAAAGATGTTTGGGAAATTTAACTACAAGGAGTTTTTTTGAGAAACACACCAAACACTCTCAAAGTCAGCTTTAGCTTCATCAATAAATCCCCTTCAAAAGATACCCAATCTGAAAGTACAGTTAGGAAATGCCTAAACAGTAGGAGAGCAGGGAAACCTCCTACTTTGCCTCAAAACCATTTAAAGGTTGAACTTTTTTCAGCCTTCTGCCTCCATACTAGTAACACAAGCATCGCTCAGAGCTCTGATCCTGGGGAATGCTCCTTACAAAAGGCTGCTTTCTGTTATATTTTTTGTGTTCACCTCAGAAAAGAAATACTCCACACAACCAGGACCGAGCTCCAAGAGCGACTGCAGAGCCCAGCAGCTGGGGAAGGAAAGCCACGCTGCATCTGTTCAGGCTCTGAAAAGAGAAAGCAATTCTCAGTTCCTGTCATCTGACACCTCTTGCCACCATTACATTTGCTTTGTATTTTAAATAGAACGTGGTTAATGAACATACTTTCCACTACTCGATGCAACTGATAGTTTAACTCCTTGGGACTAGGCCTAAATCCCCAGGGAAAGGTCAAGCTGCTAAACACTGGTTCTTGGTAGGTAGCAACAGACACAGCAACTGGCATGTGGGGCAGGCAGCCTACAAAACTGAGATGGAAGAGTCAGAAGGATTGAGGAGAGGTGGTCACCTCTCCTTGGTCATAGTCCAAGGATATATGTGATCCTGCTCTTGGAAGAGACTGTATTCAATGAGTTGGCCGCTACCACACACATCTCCACAGCTGTTTCTGCCAGGACAGGGATAGCCAAGCAGCCCATCCAAGACGGGGATTCATGTCCACTGAGCAGAATGTTCCTCTTGCAGTTCCCTGTTGTCTGAAGTCCAATGTCCCTCTGTCTAGCACTGCTCAAGGGTCTGGGTCCTTGGTAAGGAGAAGGTAGAGGCTGTTTTCTACTACTCACAGTGCTTTTCTTTGAATATATCCTAGACCCAAAAGGGCTTTCACAGAAAACCACATTATCAACAGAAACACCTCTTACATTCAGCAACTGAGCATCAGAAACCTGGACACCACTCTTAAAAGGAACAACTATTTCTGCACTCTATCAACATTCTCCCTAGTCTTGGACTATATTTTATTTTAGAAGAACCATCTCCAGCCAGTGGGCAGTGCCATTCTGTGCAGAAATAGACACCAGACAGACAGGAAAGGGGCATTTATCCAGGACAACAAAGCACAGCAGTCAGGTATGCCTGATGTGTCAGAGTTGCCAGTCTTACAGCACCTGAGTGTTGTACACAGTGCACTCCACTCACTGCCACAAGCTTGCTTGGGCAAAGGTTGCTCAGACATGTCCCCTCACAACTCTCTCTGTGCAGCTTTTTTTCCCCCCTCACTTCCAGGAGACACTAGTCATTTCTCCTCCCACCTACTAAGAAACCAAGGAAGCACAACAGCCACACTATTCTTCCCTACAGCAAGAAGGAATGGATAGTCAATTAATGAATTGACCCTAACACTGCAGGAGCCAGTGTATGTGTGCACTGCCACCTCACTGCATCCAGCCAAGGCTATGAAGATTTGCTATCTGTTTGAAGACATGTCCAAAAAGAGAAGGCTCCAGAGAGACCTTAAAGCAGTCTTCCAGTACCTAAAGGGGGCTTACAAGAACACTGGAGAGGGAGTTTTTACGGGGGCATGTAGTGATGGGATAAGGGCAAACGGCTTCAAACAAAGAGAGCAGGTTTACACTGGATATTAGGAAGATATTGTGAGGGTGGTGAGGCACTGCAATAGGTTGCACAGAGGATTTGTGGATGCCCTGTCCCTAGAAGGGTTCAAGGCCAGGTTAGATGGGACTTTGAGCAATATAGTGAAAGTTGTCTTTGCCCATGGCAGGGAGGTTGGAACTGGATGATCTTTAAGGTCCCTTCCAACCCACAACATTCTATGATTCCAACACTTTTATAAAATAGCAATATGTGATTATTTCCCATTATTGAGGTGCCTGACATCGCTGTATAACACCACCTGGGTCCTTCACACAGATCTGCCAGCCCTGACCCTCATGCTGTAATGGCAAATCCAAGAGAAAATTTGGCAGACATCCTCTTTCTGGTGGGCAAGCCTGACTGTTCACATCACTGAGCCCCCTCAGCCTTCATATCCCTGTTCTCTACACTAGTACTGAGGTAATTTTACAAAGCCACCGTACATGTGACACTTCCATCTGAACAAACTCCACAATTGTAACTCTCCAGTGAAGTAAACTTGCTTCCACAGTAAAATATCGAATACCATTATTACAAGAACAATTGTTCCACTTCAGCAGGTTTTCAACCAAATCTCAAGCTTTAAACACAATGCATTCAAACACTCCTCTTCCAAGTACTACTTTATTGTCCATGCAGTCCTCCTGCAGATTTAAATCTACTCCCTTCTTTTGCTGGGGAGGCTGACTTTTACAGGCATACAAGGAAGGGCTCAAATGTGTAACAGAAAAGATGCTTCCTCAGTAAGTTGTTATTTCTCATCCATTTGATAACAAAAACGTGATACTTTCACCTACACAGGCACTTACATTTACTTCAAAATGAATTCTGACGTGTCACTGAAAGTATCAAATTTCCCTCTCACGCCGACCTTCGAGATTAATTGGCACAGTACATATCAGACCATGGTTTATTAGTGCATTAAACTGAACTTTGCGTTACCAACATCTACGATTTGGGAGGATGGTATAGATTAGTTCATAAACATTTAATTTATCCACCAATGTAGCAATAATGGGTAGCAGCACTCCTAAATCAAACTGTTTGTTCTAAAGAAATGGCCAACCCTCTGGAAAGGCTTTGCACCAAAAAATGAATGAGGGAGATCGATAAAAGCAATAAAAACACATCTGTGTATTTCCTTAGCAACATGAAAACTATTTCAATAGGGATTATCCACACTGGTTAAAAGAAGGAGCAGTGATAATTATTATACTTTTAAACAGAAAAAATAATTTTCACTGTGTCTCCATAGTTTACATACACCATTTATTTCTTTAAGGTGTACAGTCTTCTGCTCAATGAAAGGTATTTAGGCATGGAGAAATGTCACATGGTGAATTGCAGCCAGTGGCATGGCTCCAAAGGACCCTTTGGTGGTAGCTTTGCAATTCTTTCACTCTAAGCTCTTTCTTTACTCCTTCTCTCTTCTCCTCTCTTTATTTACTTCTTTCTTCTCTTAATCTCTTCTTTTTTTTATTCTCTCCTTAATCTCTTGTGGATGACTTAAAGCCAATGGTTTGCATTTTACTAAGTTGTGGCATTGGTGTTTGTTGGGTGCTTTAGTGAAATGCCTCTCCTTGGTTGTATGTTACCACTGTGAACCTTTTACCAAAATGCATATTTTCTCACTAATTAAATGAAGTCTCTTGGAAGGAAGCGTGTAGCTTTTTCTCTTTACGCAACTTCAAGGTATCAAAGAGCTAAAGGCTCTGCAAAAGTTCAGGTGGGATCTCTTGAAGTCTTCAATACAAAAGTAATACTCCCAGTAAAGCTTAAGGCTTTGGGACTGAGGTGTTACAGTAAACAAAGTTTCTAAATTGTATTCTAGACTTCCTGATACTCAGGACTCCTAAAAAGTCTCTCTTCTCTGAGGGGAACTCCTCTTCCAGGCTCTCAGCCTCCATTAACTGAATTCTTCTCCAGGGCTCAAACAAACACATGCTTTGCTGAATCCCAAACCCAGCAATATTAAGACAAAGCTACACCTCCTTCCACGTGAAAGGGGTTAATTGCTTCCTATACTTTTGCTACAGAATCCTAAACCAGCCATCATTCAAGGAACAATGAGAACATTGTGCATGTTATCATGCCATGCGCTCCTGGCACCACAGGGGAAATTGAGGACGGACATTTTATATTCACTTCCTAGGCTGTTATGCTTCTCCACTCTATCAATTCAGAGACACAAAACCATATAAGTTCTCTTTCATCTTTCCAAACATCAGCTCTCTAGAATGTTTGCTCAGGAAAGCATTTTCTTTGGCTCCTTGTGAGACAAAAACAGACACGTTTTTTACTCCATGCTACGCTGAACAGCACTATTTTTCAAGTTATTCTCCTTCATGCAAATGACAGTGCTTATTAACAGTCTCATTAGCTTAAAAAGTGGTTTCAATTCAGAGTTTCTCATCTGTAACATTCCTGTCTATCTGAAGAGCTAAGTTTGTTTTTAGAAATGACAAATAAAACATCTCTGCCTTTGTTTAACTTCCAGAGTTTCCTCTGGTCTGTTCCTTGGTCATTCAGGAACATATCTGATCTTCAGAGCAAGGGTTGATGCTCTTACTGTACCTCTTGCACGTCCCCCATGGAATAAAAAACAGCAGCTGACTGAACATGTATGTGAACATGTGAAGGCCATACAGCAAGAACACATTTTCAGAAGAGCAGAACTTTCTTACCTTTTTGGCACATTTGCTGAGGTTGTGAAACAAGCTCCACAAGGAGGGTAGGCCAGTATCTGCATCAGCTCAAGTCACAGCCTCACAGACACAAAGCAGCCTTACTAATCACCACAGCAGGAATTCAGCCATCCCAACACGCCTTTCTACTTCCTCTGAGCTCAACACCTGCACCTGTGCAAGTGTGGTGCTTGGCTAATTCAGGCTCTTGGAAGCAGTGGAGCACCTGTTAAATCCTTCTTTCCTCGGTGTAGATTAAACCCATTACATTATTTTACACATCAATGACATTAATTTCAGTAGAAGCTTCCGTCATGCTATTCCTGCCAAATTTGGTGCTACTTGCTGAGACGCAGGCAAATTCCCTCCCAGCCCCTGGCTGAACTGGGGATAAGAAAACATAATTTTCTTTTTGCCTGCACTAATAAGTCCAGCCACAGCTGAAAAACAGGTCCTGGTGTCAGTGTCTAACAAAATTAGCAAAAAGCATGTGAATGATTTCATACCAGGGGCTTAAACAGAGAATTCTCAGTCTCCTTTCACACCACCAGCTCTGAACTGGTGAGAAGATTTTTGGCTAAGGTCCAAGTTAGGCTGATTTCAGCTGAAGACCTATGGAGGAAACACCGAGTAGCTCATTAGAGCTACTGTATCTAAACCCCCAAGAATTGGTGCATGAAACAATACAAATGTATTCTGCACATTAAAAAAAAAAAAAAGGTGTTAAAAGAGCAGAAAAGCAACAGATTTTAGGACTGGCAAGCCCTGGCACCAAAGTTGCTTGGCACTTCTGAAGAAAAAGTACTTCATGAGGACTGATCTCAGTGTTGTCTTTATCATTTGAGCTCTATTAAACCAGCCGAATGGAGCAGCTTTCTCCCAAAGACCAAACCAATAAGGAACAAGAAGTCTGAAGCTGTAAGCATCAGTACTGCTTGAACAGAGATAGTTTAAAACACTATTTGGAGTGCTTAATGCCACCACACAGCATACCATTCATTTTGATTCTGATATAATAAGAAGTACAGAAGTATAGTTTCATCCTAAAGCAACCATAATACTGATTACACATACAGGTAGCAGCCCTTTTCTGGGAGGTAATGCCTTATTAGCACAGCCCTGTTTCATGCAATGCTTTCAACCTTCAGCAACACCATAAGTATATTCATGTCTGCTGTGATCAGCAAGTGCCTTTCTGTGCCTTTTACAAACTGGTGCTCTGATCCATGTTGCTTGAAAATCAAGTGCATTTTTAATGGTCTGCAGGACAACAGCTCTGATCAAGAGACAAACTTTGCTGAATTCTTCATAGCCCTCTTTGAGAGCTTTCACCCTGTGCCACATGCTAAAGTCAATGCAGATGGGTGAACAGCTGAGTGAGTAGCTGAAGTTTCCTTCTTTGGTGCCAGACGTAACAAATTCTCCCTACAGAGGAAACCAGGACTTCAGTCTGTAACTTCCATCCTCACTGGGAGCACTCCCTGCAACTGCTGCTCTTGAGCTTTGGTAGAAGGATTTTGAAATAATTTACTGAGAACTCGTACAATCCTGCTCCAAATCAGCACTGCTGCATGCTGAAAACTGCTGACAGCTACCTAACAAAGACATGTCTGCACAGGTTTCAGACCTGCATCCTAGATTGACAACCCTTTTAAAACATGTTACTTTGAGGTTTCATGTTAAAAGACCTGACAAAACCAAAACGTGTCCCATGGTAAGATATTACCTGCCACCATCACCTTCAGACCTTCAAGTCATGTTCTCAGGTCATGAGACTCCCACACTTGACTCCCACATGCCTCTCCCTGCTGATTCCCAGCTACTGCTGGACCTCATATGCAGGTTTTGGAGAATCTTTCTGTGGGACATTTCTGGTGCTCCAAGGCACATGTTGGAGGAGATGGCTCTCCTGCCAGCCTGTGCTCTGCCAGGACAGAGGAACGGGAGCTGGTTACCAGGAGCCCCTGCCCTGAGGAGGCCCACTGGAAGGCACACACATCAGCTGCAGCCCACGTCTCTCTGTCACATCGTCTCACACCCCATGGCTGACACTGTGTGACCCCATGCAGAGGCATGCTAAGGAGAGTTGCATACCAAGGGCAGAGTAAGCTGAGAGCTTTGCATCTTATTCCAGCTTGCCCTGCACTATAATGCCAACATTAAAAAGTTGATGATGGGCACACATGCTAAATTGGCACTCTGTTCTTGAAAAAAGACAGCACATCAGCTTTAAATAACTTATTCAGAAACCAAACCTCTAGGCTATTCATGGCTAACCAAACCTCTAGGCTACCTACTTTGCTAACTTTGTATTTAGCAAGGCCATGTGCTTTTTTTTTTTTCAGTAAGATAATGCTTTAAATTACATTCACTATGGTAAACATGTTAGACATTGTTTCCAGCAAAGAAGGCACTGAATATAAGTTCTTTCCAGCTGTAGCAATGATGTATTAACATTGAAAATCATGAAAAAAAGGAACATAAAGGGTGACTCAGAAGAGATTGCTCAACCAAACCAACTTGTAACAAAGCCCAGATGTCACAAAGTTCTCAGATTAGGGCAGTAACACACTGTAGGGGAGCCCACTGACTTGGTGTCTGCACATTATACTGGCAACACTTCTAATACCAGACAGGTGGATATTGCTAGTGCTGGGTATGATAGGGGGCACAGTGTTTACCACAAAGTAACAGAGATCTGAGCAGTTGGGAGTCTCAAATGGAAAATTCCCCTGCTAAATATGCAATATGACAGCAGGAGAACTACTAATTTGGGAGAATTTGCACCCAATAACATAGGACAAACTATATCCCTTTCCTGAGCCATGTGTACCAGAGGTTAGAAAGGAGTCACCGAGAACAGTGGAAAATAAGAATTAGAGGCTCAGTCTGTGACTTTGCCCACAGGAGGAATGGAGGTGAAGGGACCAGATTGCACGAGGAAGGAGTACAGCACTGTCAGTTATGCCAGGCTATGCTGTGTCTCATTAAAGTTCCATTAGGTTGTTGCAAGAAAAGCACAATTCCAAACTGGGAATAGCATCTATAAGAAGGCCAACAATGCATTTGCACTCTGCCCTGCTGCACTATCTACTTCAAGTCTGTTTTCTGCAAGAACATTTAAAAAAACCTCAAAAACCCCCAAACAAACAAAACCTTCCATCGTTCTTAATAACTAATTCTTTATACCCACACTTCTTCCCCCCCAAAAATGGTATGCAAAATGTCAATCTGCTAGCCACTGTCTGTTTTGAGGCATTTCCTGATACCAGGAACCGATACTTGAAACCTGGACAAAGTTTACTTTTCTGTGGCTTAGGACAGGATCTACCATCTCTCAGCTCCCTTATCCCTTCACCCTGTGTGTGGGTGATGGGATATGTCCTGCTAGATTTTCTTGCTACAGCAAAGCTGCCAAGACTGTAAACGGGGTGACCTGGCATCTCTGGGAATGGGAATCTCCTTATCAGCCTCCTGTTTGCTAACAGATCTGAGACCAAAGTGCTGGGCTCACCCAGGAGCCTATACCAGTGTAAGGAAGGCACTTCCCAGGAGGCTGCTGTACCTGACAGGGCCTCATAAGCATAGCCAGATTTTACCTCTGGGCATCCAAATGCAGTAATTCCCACCAAACTCCCATTCAGTTCTTCTCTCCCAGCTGCCCCTGCATGGTCCCTCCTGCCTACTCTGATATAATAATATGAGATCAGACTCCAAAATGAAAAAATAGCACAAGTTTCCAGGCTCCAACTGGTTTTGTAATGCAGGTGCTTCTGCCTATAACTACAGACAGACAGACAACTCTGTGCATTGCCAGTATGTCACACTAAAAACACTCATGCCCTTAGAGAGGCTAGGCTGCTTTCAGGTAGGCCCATCCATAGGAATTCCTGTAGTGCCATCTCCTGGCTTAGGGTGCAGGAACACAATAGTTGAAAACAGCACTGATCAAATGAAAGATTTTTTTATATGTATACACTGAAAAAGCTTTACAACTTAGTTTAGACTATGGATCAATATACAAAAACATACAAACCATGGGCATTCTCTCAACAGATTTTGTACAATTCTCCTCCCAATAAAGTATTAGCTTAAAATGAAAAATATCTTCTGAGCTGATCTGCTTTGTGCTTTCAGCCATTACAATCTTGTCAGCATTTTTTTTATTTCTCAACAAACACCAAGGCTGTAAGAGACCCTTACAGAAGATTTATGGAGAGGAGATCAGAGCTTGTTTTGCATAGGAAGACTTTCCTGCCTAGAAGAGGTATCTTTCCCAAAGAGAGTTTTAGACTTTTCTCCTCCTGCATTCCAGAGAAATGCTCCCTGGTACGAGAAAAAGGCAAGTCTTGCAGACATGTCGAAGGCCCCACAGAGTGGGGTCCAGGGATAATAAAAGCCCTGAGAAGAACACAAGGGTGTGTCTTTCCTCAGGCTCAGTGTTTGAAACACCCTTAAGAGTAATGTTCTCTGAAGTCTAGTGTTCTCAACTTTGGAAATAAATTTTCCTACAATCCTTCCTCTGCCTGGCATTTCAGGGGTACCTGTGTATTATCTTACTTCACAAAGGCTTAAAACTCGCCTTTTGCTTAAATTTTTCATGTCATCTCATGACTCCAGAGGATAATTTCTGAAGGTTCCACAAAACCACATGGGAAGCGAGGAAAGCATGTAAAATCCCATTGATGGGGACTGTACATTGTTTTAACCCCATATTAATCACAATGATGATGGGTAATGCCTATTTTCTAGATATCAGTTATAATTAATCTATCCATTTGTAGCTTACGGTATTGTTGGTAAAAGAAGCACGTAGGAGCTCCTTTCTCGGTGAAAGATGCCCATTTACAGCTCAAAACTCTCCCCAGATGGCTGACTCAGGAAAAGTATTCTCCGTCAGGGCTGTGCCCCATGCAGCAGGGTGACCACAGGAGCTGGAGGGACAAAGAACGACAAGCAGACTGTTAAACCTTTATCCTTTCCCCCACCTCCAGCGATTTCCTTTTCCTTAAAGTAATGCCCCCTTGATATCGAGCTCCTCAAGATCTGAATAAGGGTTTGAGTCAAAATATAATTTATTTTCAGTACAGTTATGAGCACTGAAGTAACTGGGGGAAAGGTAATTCTGTCAGTGGGAGACCATGACCACCTACTCATGGACTCAAAACAGACTCCAGACTCCAATGGAGGGAAGAACTGTGCATGAGGCACTAATGAGCGCGAGAAGCAAGAGGTATAACTAGCAAATAGGGGATGGAGTACTTATTAATAAGAAGGTTATGTAACTAAATGTATGCGTTTTTTAAAATGTATAGATAGTGTAAAATTTTGAAGACTGGGGAGCTAGCCTTTTGTGGGTTGCCACCTAGGTCCCTACTTTGCGCAAACTAGAATAAAAAAGATAGAAATACCTCGCCTCAGTGTGCGAGTTGGTGCTGCGTGATGGGTGACGTTCAGGACAACAGCTCCACCCTTCGGAAACCCACGCACAGCAATGATCATAAACCACCTCCTCGAGGGTAGGAGCACTCAAAAATTAACGTGGGCTAAAGGCAAAATGACCAAAATGCCCGATGAGGGGCAGCCGTCAGGGGAGGGGGCCGGGCTTCCCCTCACGCCGGCTCGGGAGGGTGACGGCCCCGTCCCTGAGGGTGCTGAGGGGGAGGACGGAGGCGCGGCCGGGCGGGGCCACGCGCCCCTCGCGCCCTGCGCCGGCACACGGACCGCTCCACAAACCTCTGTCACCCCTGCTCCCGCTCTCCTCCCGGACGTGACTTCGAAGCTGCATGAGAAAAATATTTATCATACACGTTTCACCATAATCCCGCTCTAAACACGGAAGGGATTTACAACGGCGGGTAGGCGGGAGCAGGGATAATTACAGGGGTGCGTGTTGCTAGAGGCTTTGGGCAGCATGACCCTCCGCGCGGGGCAAGCAGAGCAGCATCGCTGACAGAACTGACGGCGACAACGAAAGCAAGGGACAGTAACGAATTAATCGCAACAGAACAGAGCGCCGCGGCTCGGACCGCCCCCGCCGCCCACACGCGCGGCGGTGCCGCCCCGCGCTGCCCCGCCCTGTGCCGTAAGATGGCGGCGCGGTTGCTTCGCTTACGCTCGGCTCTGCGGGTCCCCGGCTGCCGGCCCTTCTCTGCCCGGGCCAGGTGAGCGCGGCCGGCCGTGGTGCCTGGGGAATCCCGCCGGGGAGCACCGCGAGGGCGGGTGGAAGGGCGCCCCGAGTTTGGGCTCCTTAGAGAGCGCGGTGTGTGTCTTTGCCCATCTCCGGGGGGGGGGCGTGTGTGCGGGTTGATGGGGCCGTATAGCTGTATGTGCACACATTCTGTATGCATACGTGTCTGTGGCGGGTGTGCGCATCCGTGTGCGTTCGGAGGGGTGTGGATGCGTGTGCTCTGTACGTGTGGCAGGAGGGTTGCAGGCACTGTATGTGTATATAAAGGCGTTATGTGTATGTGTGCGGCGGTCCTCCCTTTGCAGGAGGCAGCTGGGGCTGGGCGAGCCCCCTGAGCCCGGCGGGTCCGGGATCCCCCCGAGCCGGGCGGGTCTGGGAGCCCCAGCGCATCGCCGTGATATCCCGACCTTTGCTCCACTTCCCGGCCCGGCCTGGGGACAGCGAGTCCCGTGCTGGCAGCAGGTGACGGCTGGGCGCGTCGTTGCCCGGGCACACCATTCCCCCGTGGCATCAGGCGCTCGGGATCGGGGAAGGGGGCAGAAGGGCAGGAGTGCGATCACACCATCCCCGGCCTTGGAGTTGTCTTTCCTAGGGCTTTGGTTGGCGTAAGGGATCAGCCAGGCCCTTCCCCTGTGTGACATGCAGGGTGTGAGCCATAATTAAACATAAGGGGGGGGCTTAAAGAAAGCTCAACATCATCTTAAACAGCGTTAAAAGTAAGGTAGAGCTTTTGGGAGAGTGACTGTGTGCCTAGCTTTGGGGGTACAAAGTACTCAAGTTGCTGTATCCATTTTTTTACAAATACGATTAGAAATAAACAGAGTGCGTGTTTCTGGGGTGTTTAATCCTTTGCACCGGGAGAGCCTGAGTAACTACACGTGGCAGTAAATAAAGACTTTCGTCTCAATAACAGAGTAAATAAGTGTGGGCTCAGCTGAATTTTGCGGGACTACACACAGTTGCTGTGCTGAGGAACTGAGGAGAGATTAACAAAATACTTTGAGAAAGGAACAGCGAATGCCTTTTCCGTTTCCTACAGCTCAGCTCTACTTAAAATTTCTGATGTTTTATGGCAATAAAATAAAAACAGGTAAAAGAATCCAATGCACAAATATAAATCGAATTTTCATTTCAGCCTTCAAGTAATATGTCATCCTTTATGTTCTAAACCCCTACAAAAGCTTTATAAACCTTTCCTTGTTATTTCATAATTATACTTTTCTTGTGAGGTTTCTACTACTGATACCACTGTTCCAGTTTTTATTTTTTTGTTAAAGCAGCATTTTATTTTTATGTATGTTTTTATCAGAGTTTTGTGAAGATCAGCCTTCCCGCACAACAAAAATACCGAGATTTAGAATGATTTAGAAAGTATTACTTTCAAGGTTAAGTATATGTGATAATGCAGAATACAATACATCCTTTGGAGCGTGCAAATCCACCCTGCACTCACTTTTATTTTGAGTATGTGAATTTTCAGCGTCATGGGTTTGCAAGTTTGGGGCTTTTGGGGAGGCATGTACAGAATGAACAAAATTCACCAAAAAAGTTCACTTGTTCATAAAGCTATTCCCTCAGTTTAAAATGAGCTGAATTGCATTTTGGAGGTTGTGTGGCAGGGGGAGAGAGAAGGCAGCGATGATTTTTAGCATCTCTAATAAACAGAAACTTTATTATTTTAGCTATATATGTATTATTATTGTTTTTAATTTATTTGAGGTGTTAAGGACAAGCTAGTCTGGCCACACCTCCTTTAACAGCTCACTGAAGTGCAGTGTCTCTTAGGTCTTTGTATTTATCGTGCATATCCTTTGGACCTAACAGCGTGCCAGAGTTGGGATGTGAACCTGTGTTTAGCAACACAGGTGTTTCCTCTCTTTTAATGTAAACATAAATAGAGTGCCTGTGCCCTAACAGATGCTTTCATTTGTCTTTCTTAGTCCTCTGCAAACTGAAGAACATGGCACAAAGCGCCTGGAACCATCTTCTGCTAAAACTTTGATGGATATAGGCACTCGGAGAATCTTCTCATCAGAGCATGACATCTTCAGGGAGAGTGCCAGGAAGTTCTTTCAGGAAGAAGTGCTGCCTTTTCATGCAGAGTAAGATAACCTCTTAAACATTTTGTTTTGCCAAATGATATGCATTTTTTTCCCCCAGAAATGCTTTTTGCAGTGTGACTCTTTATATGACAAGATAAACAGGTTATTAGTTTTCGTTTACAAGCTTTGTATTTCAAATTTAGTGAATTAAAACAAACCTGTGAAAATCACGCGTGAAGAAAAATCACACATAATCAAAATTCGCCACATCCTCTGAGCTCCAGTGTAGGCAGTGTGGCATCCTCAGCTTAGGCCTATGAGCAAACATGCAGTTTGCAAGAGTTGCAGCAAAGTATTCCTGCTTTGTAGGATTAACTCTGACACCAGTGTCTTGGATGGAGTTAGGGGACAGTTCAGTTCCCATGGGGCTGATGTAACTAAAAAAGGCGTTCATCTTGTGTCTAGGTTACATTGCAGTAGATTTTGTAACAACATACAAGTTCACATAGCATGGTAAGGTGAATTATGTATTACCAAGAAACTTGCACAAAACATCTTTGTTTAAATTTCTGTAACTTTTACTTCTGTGGAAATACGGGACAGAGTAGAAGTGTTGTAGTTCCACTGAACTAGAGCTGGAGGGTGGTTTTAGCCCTTATTTTAGTTATATCCACTCAAGTTATAGTTGGGGAAAGAAAAGAAATTGAGGATTAAGTGGTTCTGAACTGAAAGTGTTAAGCTTCAGTAGTATCTTAAGCAATTTCTACTTTACTTGAAGTGAAAACAGTGAGGGGTAGTGAAGGGCTTATTCTGAAATTGCCCTGCTAGGTGAATGTCCTGATACAGCTCACAATTGAGTGGGTGGAATATTGTGGCTCTGGGGCAAGAATGAACAGCAGGAGGCAATGGAAAGGACTTACAGCGGGGTTGGTGGCAGCTAGTTTTTTTATCCTCAAACCACAGCCTTGTAGTAGTATGCTATGCTCTTCCATTGTGCACTTACATTCTGTCCACAAAACCAGACATTTTCCCTCGTCTGTTGTTAGGCTTGTGGTGCAGGTTTGTAAACAGGTACTGGGTCTGCTTGAGGTTACTGAAGATCCTGTTTGCTGTCGTGCTGACGCAGGGGTTTCTTAGAGAGGCTGGAACAAGTTGAAATTTTGTTCTTGCATCACTTCAGTGACTGATGAACCGATCTGTTCTCACACCTTTCAAGCAAACAAGGAGGCTTCAGGCACAGTATATTAATTGTCTGGGCTGATGTGAAAAGCCAAATGTGGCATCAGTGAATGCAATTGTGGATTATTGTGAGGAGGTGAAGCTCTGGCGATGGGTGAAGTAGAGACAGGAACGGCCCTGAAAGCGAGGGGAGGGGTGAAGCAAAGGTGGTCAAGAGAGATTTGTGTAAGATTTCCAGTGTAGGAGCAAAAGCTCTGGAACGGAGCTTAAACACTAGAAAGCTTAAATACTGGAGCAGGTTGCCCAGAGAAACTGTGAATACTCATCCCTAGAAGTGTCCAAGGCCAGGTTGGATGGGGCTCTGATCAACCTGGTCTAGTGGAAGATGTCCCTGCCCATGGCAGGGGGTTGGAACAAGATGACCTTTAAGGTCCCTTCCAACCCAAACCATTCTGTGATTCTGTGATGCTATTCTTTATGTAGGATAAGATACTTGATTAACTGTGGAAGAAGAGATGTGATACAGCTCTGCTGCACTCAGGTGTGTCAGAGGAATGTCTCTAATGTAATCTGTCTATCATATAATTTTAAAATTGTGGTTTTAAAGAAAAAGACATTAAAAAAAACACCCGGGCCATTAATGGCTATCCAACTTTCTACTGAGTTGGCAGATCCCATTAAGAGGAACTATTTTTCTAAGATTGAGGGATTCCCATGGTGTTGAAGTTTGCAAACTGTCAGCAGCTAAGCCTCAACTCTATCTGTTTACACAGACTTGAAACTACCTTAAAGCAGTAATTTCACAAAATACAGTAATGAGTTGTTCTAAGTGCACAGGGACCGATTTTTATATAAAAGTGACTAATATGATAGCATTTTGGTTCTGATAAAGCAATTCTCGTTGGCTGAGTGGAAGTCTTTCACAAAAGATACTGATGTGTTATACTCATTTTGTACTGGGGAAAATGGAATGCCGTGAAGATAAAGACCTGCTTGTAATTATCCAGATGGTTGTGGCTAAATCTCCTAAATACCAGTCTGGTATAACAGTCATAACAAGTCTTAATGAAATTCCTGTCAGGTTACATGTTGGAAGCAGGAGTTCAAACTTGTTTTACAGTTGGTGCCCCTGTAATGCCAGTGGCATCTGTGGACTTGAAGATTAGAAAACCTGTGATTAATCCACTGCTTCTTGGCTGTGAAACATAGCTGTGTGTGTACCCTCGCACTGTGTGTTGGTGTTCCAGTGTGAAGCAGCAGCCATGACAAATAAATAGTAGCGTGTGGGGGTTTAATGTGTGGCCTTGTTCTTGTGTTCGTTTTGCAGATGGGAGAAGAATGGCCAAGTGAGCAGGGAGCTCTGGGAAAAGGCTGGACAGCAGGGTTTGCTGGGTGTTGCTATTGCTGAAAAACATGGAGGCATCGGAGCGGATATTCTCTCTTCAGCCATTGTCTGGGAGGAACAGTGAGTACTAGATGCTTCAGGAAGTATTTCAGTGA